TGATCACCTTAGCCTCTGAAGACTTGATCTACTACAGCCTACGACCTACGACCTACGACCACGACCCCAGTGTACTGTTTAAACGTCAATCCCCAACTTCTGTTAGCAGACCCTACTGTCGGATAGCTGACCGTAACATATCTTTAGTTGAAATGCGTGGATTCGACGTGTTACACTACCCAAACTCCTCAGCGAGAAAACTTCTAGAAAGTGTCCTGACTCCAATACAAGTGTGATACTCCGATTTAAAATCCCATGCTGCTATCATTAGGCATCTCCAGAAGGTTGTAGTCCAAAGCCAGCATATCAGCCAGATTCAAGCCATTTTCAGAAAGAAAATCAGGGAAATATTCTATCTGCGACAACCAGTCTCTTCCAGCGCCTTCTGTTGAGTTCATCTCCGCCTCTGGCATGTTCATGCGAGGACAGAAACCAGGTGGAAAAGCAAAGAGGTCATTCAGCCGCTCACTAACACTGCGTGTCGCCCACTTAGCGTGCTCTCCGGGGACACCAGGCCGACAATCGTGGCTAGATTGGCCTCCGCGACTATCCGTGTCCTTCTGCAGCTGTCTTATCTTCCGCAGCACTAGATCCGAGCCGCCATACCGGGATCGCATTTCGCCCAGCACGTCGCAAATAATCTTTAATTCCTCGTCTCGAGTCACTTCGTCTTCTCGCGACTGGCGGGGGAAACAAACCAAGGGAACTGCTGCTACCATGAGAAAGTAGCCATGAATAGCAATGAGGTGGGCTGTCTCCTCCCTGCAGTGAATCTCTTCATAAAGGCGGGATATACTCGACGCGGCAGTGAGTGAGGAAGCAGCGATCGACGGCCTCGTCCCTTTCCCATCAAGAAGCTGTAAGAGAATAATGGTGACGAAGTATATAATATGCAGATCGCTTGAAGGGCGGTAAAACGGCCTTCTGATGCCAGAGGCGTCGTAGAGGTGTAAATTTTCTGGCAGGGTTTGGAGCCAGTCACATAGTCGCTGGACGAGAGTCGCAGCCTCTTCTTGAGTGATATTTGTCCGCCCATTGCCAGCTTCTGCAATGATGCTCATAGTTTCCGTCAATCTCACAACCTCCAGGAAAGCATACGAATGCAAGTCCGTAGTGGGAAAGTCACTGATTTCTAAGGGCGGTATGTCGTATTCCTGAGGATGAAGGGTCAACGGACGCCCCCAGCAAGAGGCTGCTAGTCGATCTGAAGTCTTGACAAGTGGTCAGCGTGCAGTGATCTTTGTTAGCTGGTAGTAATACGAACCACAAGCTGCCAGAAAATCCGGCGCAAACAACCTGGATTGGTGTGCCGATCGTGTGTGGAACGGTGATGGAGGCCCATCTGCAGGGCCATCCGTAATGCAACACCTAGCCAGTGCCATGGACCATCCAGAGTCACCAAGTCCGTGGACATGACGCTGTAGCATGTCATAAGACAGAGTGACTTTAATAAGACCAAAGTATCGGCTTCGTGATTCAGGTGAATCAAGGTTTTGACCTTCTCATACTGCGAACGGCAAAGCTCCATGCTCTCAGGTCCACGCCGCATCAAGCAGCCGACCATACTGACGGCCTGTAGTAGGAGCGTAGACGGGGCTGGCCCCAGCACATCCTCTCTATCAACAACCGGATAGAGCGGGTAGACATGATCGAAGTAGGCGTCTGTCAGTGCTCTGAGCAAAGCAGGTCGAGGTAGTACGTTGGCTTGGGTCAGCCTGAGTATTGCCGACTTGGTGTCCAGGGTCCGCGAGTTACTGGGATCGAGTTCTGGCTCGCCATGTGCAGCGTCGTATGACATGACTGTCGACGGAGAGATAAACGCCATCGGCGGTTGGGCTGCGTCTGCCGTCGTGTCGCTGCGACTGCTGCATCTCGGTACATCTGGTAACGGCGGCCTACCGAGAGCTCCGCCCGAAGCGTCCTCCGTGGAAGAAGCAGCTACGGGCCCGGTGCGGTGCTGTCTGTCGGTCCTCGGCACACGAGGAGGTTGCGCAAGCCGTTGCCCTTTGCGCCGTTTACGAACGCCATCTCGGCGTCTGAGATACGCAGCATGTCAGCAAGAAGTTACGGCTCCAGGCAGAGGTAAGACTACCTACATGCAGTCGTGGTTGAGCCGACGGCAATTGGTGCAGACCTGTTCCGCCCTGTCCTGCAGGTCGCATTTGACCTAGAAGAGCGTCAACTGACGAAGAAGCATGGCTGTCTCCGGGAGTGTCAGACCTTTCGGGCATGGCAATCCACGCAGACCACATTCGCGCGGTCTCTCAGGGGCCGAGACTGAACCATTTTACGTGCCGAAGAAAGACTTGGAGAGGCTTTCACTGGGGCCCTGGAAACATCGTAACAAATAAAGCAAACTAAGACAGCTCCAGGCTGCGGGGAACCGAGGCTTAGCTGCTGGGGGAGCACTGGAAACCTCGCCTTGGGGGACAAGCCCTAGCACGCTACAAACATGGCGCAGGGTACTCTGACCCCTGGAAATGCTTGACGGGCACTCCCGCCCCCGTGGAAGAAGCGGTCGGCACTCGGCACTCGGCATTCGGCACTGGCGTCAACCCTGACATGACGGACTCGGCCGACTTGGTGAACTCCGGCGGTTCCGAGGAGACTTGACAATGCTGATCACTCAAGAATTCATCATTGTGTCCATTACTGGTCGTCGAATAGCCTGATACCCATGTGTTGCCTCCGGCTGTCGGTAAAGTGCATACCTGTGTTTCGGGGACGGGTGTAGGGACAAACACGGGCAGCAGTTCATAACTGATCGCACGGGAATTCTCTTCAACAGTCGCATGTTACTGGAGTGGTTTATATACTTGTATTCTTCGGTCAAAGGCGTGAAATGAGTCAACGCCAAAATCTGATCATCCATCCCCACCATGTCTGACAGAGTACGACAGCTTGCGAGCCACTTTTCAGACACTCCAAATGGCGCCAATGCGGCACCCTACCAGGTCTCAGAACAGCCACTGGGGACCACAAGACATGTCCGGATTGTCACCATCGGGGCCGATATGAGTGGGCTCAACATGATACGGACGCTGCGTCTCCACTTGACCGACTTTGAACATGTCGTCTATGAGAAGAACCCAGAGATAGGAGGCACCTGGTTCGAGAACCGATACCCGGGCTGCAAGTGTGACGTGCCGTCGCACAACTACCAGTTCTCCTGGCGTCCGAATCCAGAGTGGACCGGCTTCTTCTCGACAGCAACAGACTTCCAGGCTTATCTGTGTCGAGTCTGCGAAGAAGAGGGCATGAGAGAAGTGATAAAATTGAGACACCAGGTTAATCGAGCTGAATGGGATGAAAGCAGCTGTGTTTGGAAGCTGAAGATTCTCAATCTGGAAGACAACTCCGAATTCGATGACACTTGTCACTTCCTGTTGGACTCTTCGGGGATTCTCAAGTAAGCCAACTATAATTGAATATTCATACTACTGACAAGGATTACTGCAGTCATTGGAAGTGGCCTAAGATCCCGGGACTGCAGAAGTTCGAAGGTCATCTCATTCATAGTGCCGACTGGCCCTCAGGCTTTGACTACAACGGTCTCACAGTCGCCGTCATCGGCAACGGCTCTTCGGGAGTCCAGATCTTGCCGGAAATACAGCCAGGTAAATCATTCTGCTCAAGCATGCAGCCACACTTTGACTAACACCGGTCGCAGACGTGAAGAAACTGGTACACTTTGTAAGAGAACCCACCTGGGTTGTTCCCGGGCGTCTCCAGCTCCTAGCACAGGGCGCTGCTGGCGGGATCCTTGGCGAGGTTGGCATGAGAGAAAACGCAGACTTCACCGAGGCTCAAATCGAGCGTTTCAAGACAGACCCAATCTTTTATAAGAAGTTTGTCAAGGCAGTCGAAGAAGTCGTGAATGGAAATTTTCCCATTGTAAGTTAGGACATTTCGCATTCAACCCAAGGCGCATAGTTGACACGCAACAAGACCCTCAAAGACACCGATTTTGCAGCCAGCGTACAGGAGACGGCAACCGATTACATGAAGGAGGCGTTGGGTGGCGATGAGCGACTGTGCAATGCCATCATACCCAAGTTTCCTCTCGGATGTCGACGGCTTACGCCTGCGGTGGACTACCTGTGGGCTCTCCGAAAGCCCAACGTGAGGGTGGTCACGGATCCGATTACCAACATTGAGGCCAAAGGTCTGCGGACCGAGACGGGTGAGCTGATTGAAGTGGACGCAATGATTTGTGCCACGGGGTTTGATGTCTCTTTCCGCCCTCGATTCCCGATCATCGGAAGACGAGGCAATCTGCAGGACCTTTGGACTGAGAGAGTTCCCAAATCTTACATGTCTTGCGCAGTCCCTGACTTCCCTAATTACTTCAGTACGTCACCTAACTTATCTGGCCTTCCTTTCGATGCATTGGACTAACGGTATGTAGTGTTCCTTGGCCCCAACGCGCCTATCGGGCATGGCAGTGTCTTCACTATCACTGAACACATAGCTAAATATCTCGTACGTATCATCAAGAAGTGTCAGACGGAGGGTATCAGTGCCATAGCCCCGCACGATTCTGCTGTCGATGAGCTATTTGAGCATACTCAGACATTCATGCCTCGTACTGCTTGGTCTGGAAACTGCATTTCTTGGTTCAAAGGCGGGACTATAGACGGCCCTGTGACGGCTCTACATCCGGGCAGCCGCATTCACTTCTTCCACATGCTGGAGAAGTTCAGAGGTGAAGACTGGGAGTATACCCGGGCCAATAAGCAAAATCGGTTTCAGTTCTTAGGGAACGGGTTCTCAACCAAGGAGCTCGGCGACGAAGACGCTACATGGTACCTTGATGAACCAGACAATATTTGAAATTACTTCGGATTAACTAGTTACTTTTTTGCCTCTCAATCTCAAGTAATCTTGATGTCACTGCTTTGCCCGATATTGCCTCTTCTCGTCCAGAATAATGGACGTATTTACATCATGGCTGGGGAGAACAACGACCTTCTGTTGCTCAGAGAACTTCTTGATAAGCTGCAGGCTTTCGAACGCAGTTATCGGGTCCTGGTTAATACCATCGGGCTCTCCCCTTTTCAGCAGCTCCAGACTGTAAGTCGCGTCGCCCGTGATGAAGTACGTGTCAGGAGTACCTGGGCCTCCACTCCCATCTTTGACAATAACAGAGATGTGTCCTGGGACATGTCCCGGTGTCTCCACCGCTATGACCTGCCCATCCTTTGTGATGGAATCCGACTGTGTCCAAGGACCGACAGACTTTCCATCAAAGTTCAGCAGCCGCAGATTGAAATCCTTCGGCCAGTGGTTGGACGCACACCCTTGAACTGCCGCATACGTCGGGTGCTTTCCGAAGGCGTCCCAATGGCTCGCGCTGATGTACACCGGCACCTCCGGGGCGGCCTCCATGATTTCCTCCAGGCCGCCTGCGTGGTCGTGATGCAGGTGCGTCAGAACGACGGCTTGCAAGTCCGTCGGCTTCACGCCGAGCTTTGCAAGCTGGCTGACGATGCCGTCTTCTGGCGCCAGCTGGAGCTCGCTGAGCACGGTGGTGAGGTAGCTCAACATTGGAAAGTATCCCGCCTGCATACACTGGGGTGATGCCCCCGTGTCGATGAGGATAGGGCCGTCGGCATGTCTGATGAGGAACACGCCGATGGGGAGCCACGGCGTCCACTCGCCCGTGAAACAGCGCAGAAGGCGGAGAGTGGTGCTTTTGTTGGTGATGGGCTGCCCGCTCATCGGCTCTCGCATCCTAACTTTGCCCGTGGATATGAACTCGATCAAATTGCTACCCATCCTGGATTTTGATGGAGTTTTCCAGAGTCGCTTTTGGAGTAGCAGGCGCAGGGTGGATTTGAATACCGCACAGCGAGACGAGCTGTCATTCGTGAAAGGAGGCCAAGAAGAATATTTGCGGATTTAAATTTGACTGGGATGTGTCCGTCATAGAAAAAGAAGTTCTGAAGCTTTCGCATGTGGCATAATTGCAAGGTTGGTTGGTGAGAAGTTTGCGGATTTCATCGTGGCGCCTCGATTGCCGACTGCCGAATGCCGGTAGTCACCAACCACAGCGGCATGGCTATCCCACCGGCAAGCTGCGGGTGGGTTACGCTACCGGACCCGTCTTTGAGAGCTGAACAGCTCCAGACTTGATGTCGAATAATGCAGTGGGCCAAGCTCTTTGAGTGTGATAGACCGAACAAAGCTTTAATTCAACAAAGTTGTGCCTCAGCACACGAGGTTGCCGATGTGGTACATCGCCGGGTTTGCTCAATCTACAACACACTATTCACAACAAGTTTCCTACCCCCACGAAACTATGTATCTACAAATCAGCTTGCTTGAAACGAGTGAGAACTTCAGGTTCAGAAAAGAGACGATAGAGGATGATTTCTAACTGAGTTTGTTGGGAATGAAGTGGTATTCTCCGGATGAGATAAGTACCTACGCATCGAAAATACCATCAATGTCTACCTGAGTTTCTATCTGGAATACGATACGTAATATTTGAGGAACCTTGAAGCAGAATTCTTTGCTGGACCTCCGCAGACTTACATGCCAGTTATAATGTCAGCAGAATTTCGAGTGCGACCAAAGGTGGGTGATAATATAATTCACGCAACCCTTCCGGTTCAAAAGATCTTGAGTATCAAGGCAGAGAAAGGCAACTGGGTAACGTCTCATACATGTACATTGATTGGCAACCTGATCGAGTGCCAATGTGGGTGTCACGGGCTAGAGCCCGGATTGATATCTCCGGCTTCGCCGGAGCAGTTACCGAGATCCGGCTCCGTTGGACCCACTATTCTGCCGCAGTACGCCGCCTAACCCGGCCTGCTTCACCGCTGTTAGGTGCCTACCCTTGT